GATGGTATCGTCCAGTGCACTGTTGTATTCGGATGCAGAACTGATCGGGGAGGACATTTTATGCACTTTCTATTGTACCTTTCCTCTTGCGCTTTGTGTCCCAAACCAAATTTCGTCCAAAAATCCACTTAATGAGTAGGTATATGAAAAAGAAGAAAATTCCAAAAATTAGCCGTCTTCACTTGATTTATTACAATAGATTTCATCAGATGGAACGTAAAAAAAAAACAATCCACGTAATCTATTTGCTACTAGTCTAGTTTAATGATTAGACTTGATTCAAGAAGCAAAGGCAAAAACTACAAAAAACCGAGGAATTTGCGTTCAAAATACTTACAATCCGCGGATGGAGATAACTGATTTCCAGATTCTACGATGTCCAGCGTTGTTGCGGCTTATGTTCGCTGATAGTTTACGCTTAAATGCGCGATAAAACAGGGTATACAATAAAAATTTCTTTCGCGACACACAAAAATGCTTTTCCGCAGCAGTAAGCCAGCAACAAATCGTTTCACTCTCTTCGGGAAAAAATTCTCTCTCGCAGTTCCAAAACATCAACATCAACTGACAGATGTAGATGATATTCCCACTGCAGGGGTGGAATCAATGTTGCCAGATCGGGGTTCTCGTCGGGGTTTGAAGCGATGCGCCATTGCTGGCGGGAAGCTGTAACTGTGTTTGAAATGGCCGGTAAAATGTACAGTTACTATGATGGCGTAAATAATTTTGGGAACCAATTCAAGCATGAGTTTTCAAAAGGACGTAAGTCACAAAACATAAACAAATCGAGTTTTTCTATCCTGTTGTAAATTTCATGCTTTACTCTATAGTTATTGCGAAACAAAGTTTAAAAACTTAATCATCGAAGAAAAAATAAATTTAATTGAGAAATCCAACTTAAACTCATGCGCACCTGCTGGCAGGAATAAGCACTAACCGACGGTGATAAGACTGTGACAGGCCTTGAAAATTTCATTGATTGTTTGCAAAATTATTTAATTTCAATGTAATTTCATGAAAATTTCTTGTCAGCATAGATGAATCTTGTTCAAAATGCATAAAACTATTTTGTAATGCATTGTTCTTAAATAAAAAGCAACTTCAAGGCTTATAAATTACTGAAAACGTGTTAAGGTTTGAAATCATCTGCCGATTAAACAACAGACAAAGTTGGCCGACTAAATCAATCGACGAAAAACTATTTAATAGGCCGATTGCTCGGTGTAGCACCAGACGAAAAACGATTTAATCTGATGATTAATACACCGACTGAAATTAATTTTTAAGTGACAATAGATTTAGTCGGTGGACGATTCGGGTGATTTGGATGATGTTTGTTTATTTGGAAGATATTTTCGAAACAAAGCACGATAAAATTCAGCATTATATACCATTATTACGAGTACTACTTTTTTGCTCGGATCATGTTTTGACTTCCACAGAAACTCGCTAGAATAAATAGAAAATAATAGTTTTTTGGTTGAAATTTCAAAAATGTATTCAGTTTGACACATTATTTCGGACTTATCACCATAGAGGTAACTCTAAGACTAGTAGGTCCCGAAGAAAATCATTATTATTTTTGGCTCACTCAGTACCAGAACAACGGTCCCAAGCAGTCCCAAGCTATTTCACTCACCCCTGCATGTTCTGCATGAATCCACACACCCCTGATGTTATCTGTCAAACTTTCATAGCGAATCAAAACAAACATAGTGTAGTAATAGAATTTCAACTAGAATAGGGTACGTTAATCGTTTGCTTGGGACCAATAGGCTACTAAAGTGGTGAGCCAATTTAAAATCGTTAGTTTCGTATTGATTGTTGTTATCACCGCTGCGATTGCAGCGTCACGGTGGTCGATTGAAACATGGATTTGTCAATAGGGCGAATACGGGAATGATAAACAATAAATAAAATTTAAGCTTGAAATTCATCTCATTGTCGCGCGCCAACCAAACCGGAACGCGCGTCGCACTTCAAAATTAACATAAGTGACATAGGAAGTTCAGTGATGCCAGCGAGAAATGTTGTTTTGGTTTTTCAGTTGTATGTACAGTGTGTCTTTGAGTAGAACAACCAAAAGTTTAAACATATGATTTGTAAAACGAAAATATGTGATTATCATCAAACAAATAAGAATTGAGCGAGGATCCTGTCGGTGATTTCGACGCTATTGGGTACTAACTTAAAAAAAGTACAGTGGTGAACTTTATGCGTCTTTCTAAGGCCTTAAATGCATTTAGCTAAATATGTAATATATCATGCAATTTGACTAATTTTCAATTTCAGCAGTTTACTTTACTTACCCCATAAGAGAAACCCGGGAAAGTAAACATTTTTCATTTTAGAGGTCCAGGACAAGCCTTCATTGCACATCTATGCTCAAAGCAATAATCTGAAGGATAATCAAATTCAAGAGCAAAAAATAACTGAAGAAAGCAAAGTATTTTTATTGCCATTCGATGATATAATAAGATGAAACTCGGTTCAATTTGTATGGATTTATTTCATTTCAAACGAAAATTATAAATTAGCTCTTTTCATATGGCATTCTTTTCTGTTGTGTTCATGGTGAAACAAAACGTTGGTTTTCCATAGAGAAATGCCGTTGCGGCGATGAAGGACAATCCCTTTGTTTACGACGTGTGGTGACATCTACTATTTGCAAATGGGTACGTGAAACTAAGGTTATCTGTCACCTTGCCGGGGACTTGTGAAAATGTAAACATCTGTCAAACGTGACTCACATCAGAATGTTCACTTTTTAAATTGAAAATTTGTCTTGTCTTGGTACGTTTTTGGTGGTCAAAAAGCTTGTAGAATTGTAGGAAAAGAGTGTCCTTCTTCAAAGTGACAAATGACTACAATGATATCACCATAGAGGTAACTCTAAGACCACTGGGTCCCGAAGAAAATCATTATTATTTTTGGCTCACTCAGTACCAGAACAACGGTCCCAAGCAGTCCCAAGCTATTTCACTCACCCCTGCATGTTCTGCATGAATCCACACACCCCTGATGTTATCTGTCAAACTTTCATAGCGAATCAAAACAAACATAGTGTAGTAATAGAATTTCAACTAGAATAGGGTACGTTAATCGTTTGCTTGGGACCAATAGGCTACTAAAGTGGTGAGCCAATTTAAAATCGTTAGTTTCGTATTGATTGTTGATATCACTGCTTGCAATCAGGAAAATAGTTAAATTTTTAGACTTTGTAAACACAAGCTCCACCGCTTAACATTCTAATTGTTGTTGCAGGATCGTTGCATTATCCCGGGATGCCACGAGAACAAATTTCAACTTTTTCGAGTTCCGAATTCAGGGAGCAACAAATTCGTGCAGTGGAGAAAGGTTGACACTGTTTACGGATCAGAAGAATATAAGTTCCAAAGTTTGTTGTCCATCCCGGTAATTTTAGATTAATTTCATGTGGCCGCTCCCCGGGATGGGAACTTTGCAGAACAAATCCATTCCCCTCAATTCTTGCTTTGCTGCTGATCTACTGGTGTAGCCCAGGCACACAATATGCTAGGTCTTTAAATCCGCTAGCACGGAGTCCCCAACATCATCCAGTATATCCAGCAGACTGACTTGGACGTCGATTTCAATCATACAAAACATAACCAAAATAATATCGGTGCATCAAAAAACGCATTTTCATTATCTTTCAATGACATTGCAATGAAAATTAATATAACATTAAATTATTCGACAAATTTCCTACATGTATCGTATCTGCTCGTATCTCACTATTTTGAACTATAATAGTACGTTCAAAACTTATAACATGTTATAGCGCTATCTTGATGGTGATTTCTGTGTTGCAATTATTTGACAACCGTTATAACATGTTATAACTGCTCAGTTTGGACAGCGCTTAACGGAAAAAAAACGAAGCAAAACGTAGGACAAAATCCCGAACGATGCATTTGTCTCGTGTATAATGATCCGTCTATGGAGCATTAGAGTGCAATGACAAATTTTCTACATGTACACACTAAGATTTTTTTACAGGAGTCAGTATTATTTTTACTGGGTTTTTGAATGGATCATTGAAGATTCTGAGGTTTTGACAGCACCGTACTGTGGCTACCACAGTATTTTACATTGGTTCGTCCGTATACAGTAGCGCCAAATGAAAACTGTGGTGGGTTCAAAACTCAGCCATCTAAAATGATCCATTGCTGAAAAAGTCGGTAAAAATTCAAATGACCGTTATCCGTTTCTTGTTTATCGCCTGTTTTAAAAAGCACATTATATAAGAAATATAATATTGCCATATCATTGTAATTTTAGGTTTGCTTTTGTAATTGCACGATAAATAGTTTACGTCAATTGAAACATTGAGTTGTATAAACATAGTAGTAGTTACCGTGTCGCATGATTGAACAACCACTGCCTGCAACTAGTGTTGGAGAGGCTGGCAGGGTTGACTACGGATCAAAACGATCATAACTCTAACACTAAAATGATCCCGAAACTAACGCTCATTCATTGCACTTTTACACACAAAGAAAAGTCGTTTATAAAATTAAAAAAACCATTGGTAGATTTAAAAGTTTACATTGGTTCTTTTTGGTAGAAAGCGGTTAGCTTTCAAAATAAAAGTCAACCAACCGTCAATTCAAAAGTTGTCCGCTCGATACTTTTAAAAGTTCAAACTTTCAAAATGAATTGTAGAACTGTCAAATGAAAAATGTATTAGTCCTGAAATTAATGGAGGATTATTTTTGACTTGAAAATGTGGCATAGTTAAAATTAAATGGGCCTTTTGAATTTAAATTAAAATAATTAAAAAAAAAATATTTTGGTTTTTATTTTAGTGGATAAGTATTAAATATTCTTTATTATTATTTTTCAATAAGATAATAAGATCCAACAATATTTTTTTACATTGTTATTGTTATCCTTGTTGATGTTTACGTTATTGCGTCTTGGAGTTATTCTTGCTTTGAGTAAACCTGCTACAGTAACAGGTACATGGTGATGTCACAGATGCAGGGTTGAGGACAGAAGACAACCTCCAGCATTGTTAGCAGCGTGATTGTATACCGGTGGAGATTTAACGGCAGCGGATAGCGGAAGGAAGGTGTCGATTAGATCGTTTTCGGTGAGGGTTTCTGTGGAATATTAAATATATTGTTATATACCTTTAACATCTACTGTTGTAGTAGTCGTCGAACACTCACTTGCATTCCGAGCCATCTTGTCCGCTCGCAGATGAATATTGTTTCGTTTTATCTGGAATTAATAAAAATCTCTAATTAAACTCTACTATTGTTATTTGATCGCTTACCTGATGCGATTATTATTTTTCACGGAGGAAAATTGTCCTTCCCAAATTTTCCTCGCTCTTCGTGACACTTCTGACGTCAAGCCAAATTAAGCGGCAAACCGAGGTCCAGTGCTGCCAAAAACTTTTCCTAGAAAATGTATTTTTGACAGTTGAACAACTTTCATTTTAAAAAAATGCACTTTTAAAATTACAAGTCGAACCTGAAAGAAACACTTTCAAACCAAAAAAATAATTTTTATTTTGAATATTTTCGTTGTTAAAATGACGAAATTTACGAAACTTTTAATTTGAAATGGCATTATTTTTATTAAAACAATTTTTGTTTTTTGTGTGTAGTTATAAAGTAGTTCTGTTTTCCTAGTAATTGATCTATGCTTCTTTCTATTGTTTTTATACTTTTTCAATAATCTGCCTGCGTTTCTTTTCCTTTGTTTTCTATTTTATTTTTATTCTCTTTTTATTGTTCTGCTCTTCTTTTGTTTTGTTTGTTTAGATATAACTAATACTAATACCTCCTTTTTTCCTCTCTAATGTTTCGTCTCTAATTTGTCTGCTATATCTCACCATCACGACGAGAGATGAGCTACCCTACATAGTACACGCCTATATGGGCGCCCAAAATAGTATGCCGCAAGTAAGTATATTACCAAAACAACTCAAGATCCAATAATAAAAACCTATGGCGCAGCAGAATAAGGGTAACTTCTACAATGTACTGTAATTTGTACAATAATACTCATATTACTCATATTACTTTAAACAATCGTCACGTCGGTCATAGCTTGTTATGATTGCCTGAACAATGCGTAAAGAGCAAATCGAAACATTGAACGTCGCGTGATAGTGGAATTTAATCAAGGCCTAAATACTTTTCCGTAGCCTTTTGTTTTCGGATTTGAAAGATCGTCGGTTGCAGTGGCTTGCTTACTGAGCAGAAAAACGCGGTCCCAGGTCCTATCATATTTAAAATGTATGGTAGGATCGCTTGTTTATCGTGTATTTTGCTAAACCTTTCGTTGTCGTCGGTACCGGGTTTGAATAGTTATAACAACTTGAGTAACGGTATGATGTGATATGAGGGGCTCGGTGACCTTAGAGCAACCGTTTTTGCTTACTGAGCAGAACATCCTGAGTCTAATCTCAAGCCCATCCACATCAAGATTCGTCGATCGTTTTATTTGTTAATATGACTACATGGTAATAACAGCAACTCGATGATTAAAAAGGAGCTCGTTTGCCTAGTAGCAAACGTTTTTGCTTACTGAGCAGAAGACCGTGGGTTCAATCCCAAGCTCCTTCGCGTTATACGATCGTTAGGACATCAATTCAGCTTATCGTTTACCAAAACGAACCCTGCTGCAAACCCAACCCTCTTACCCAACATCCCTGTGATTCCTCGTGGACGTGCAGAGGACTCCTCGGCTTCCATCAAAGCGAGTGTCACGTCAACACATTCCTACCCATTCCTTTCTTGACCTGCGTTCAGGCGCGGCTAATTCGAGATCACCAGTTTTTACACATTGAGGATGATTGCTAGTCCCAAGCATCGTCTATTGGTTCTCTGTGTAATTACAGCTGGTCTGGCAATAACAGAGTAGCAACCGTGGAAATACCATAAACAAAATCATAAAGCACTTACCATGTCATACAACTAACAAAAATCTGAGTTTTTACATTATTATTATAAAAAAAAAACTGCGCATCTCAATTCAAGCGCACTGTTACCAACAATCAATACGAAACTAACGATTTTAAATTGGCTAACTACTTGACTAGCCTATTGGTCCCAAGCAAATGATTAACGTACCTCATGCTAGTCGTAATTCTAGTACTACGCAATGTTTGTTTTGATTCGCTATGAAAGTTTGACAGATAAAATGAGGGGTTATTCGTTTTTCCTATGTTTCGAGGGGTGAATCGATTAGCTTGGGACCGAAGATAGTACCAGAGTTGAGCCAAAAAGTTGAGCACGTTATTTCGGGACCTTCTAGTCTTAGAGTTACCTCTATGCTGTTACTTTGTTGTGGGTCCCCAACGCACACCTTCTCGAAACAGTACACAAACACACTTCAAAAATACAATGTTAATTTCATTGCCTATTTTAATACGATTCCCAACACTTTCCACACACTTGCATTACAAGCTGGTTCTATAACCCAACTATCAATTAAACGCGAAAAAATCCGCCGCGGAAAGCTCAAAATCGCGAAAACTACGCAAACGAGCAACGTGAAAATACGGAAACGTCAATCGTTTCCCCCCGGCGCCGTACTATATGGTACTATCATAGAGGTAACTCTAAGACTAGAAGGTCCCGAAATAACGTGCTCAACTTTTTGGCTCAGCTCTGGTACTCTCTTCGGTCCCAAGCTAATCGATTCACCCCTCGAAACATAGGAAAAACCAATAACCCCTCATTTTATCTGTCAAACTTTCATAGCGAATCAAAACAAACATTGTGTAGTACTAGAATTTCGACAAGAATAGGGTACGTTAATCGTTTGCTTGGGACCAATAGGCTACTAAAGTGGTGAGCTAATTTAAAATCGTTAGTTTCGTATTGATTGTTGGTACTATCACTTTTCTGTTGTGGTATTCTCAGTGCATTGGCCTGGCAATGCTAGGCTAGTTGTCTCTTTTATTCTCACACTCTTGAACGATGCAAAATGTATGACGTCATCATCATTGTCAAACAACGGTGAGAATAGAGCTTTTTGACGTTTAACCGGCGCACACTAATGCACCATTTAAATTCAAGGAGTGCGAGCAAGAGGGAAACAGATTAGTGGGAAAACAAACCATCAATTCATCTCTGTGTGCTAGATAGAGAAAGACGATTAAACGTCAAAAAGGTCTATGGTGGAAGGAGACAAAAAAACTAAAAGGGACAGCCCTATGGGGTTGTACGCAATGGTGACGTAGGACCAACAATCAATACGAAACTAACGATTTTAAATTGGCTCACCACTTTAGTAGCCTATTGGCATAGAGGTAACTCTAAGACTAGAAGGTCCCGAAGAAACGTGCTCAACTTTTTGGCTCAGCTCTGGTACTCTCTTCGGTCCCAAGCTAATCGATTCAGCCCTCGAAACATAGGAAAAGCCACAAACCCCTCATTTTATCTGTCAATCTTTCATAGCGAATCAAAACAAACATTGTGTAATACTAGAATTTCGACTAGAATGGGGTACGTTAATCGTTTGCTTGGGACCAATAGGCTAGTCAAGTAGTGAGCCAATTTAAAATCGTTAGTTTCGTATTGATTGTTGGTAGTACCAACAATCAATACGAAACTAACGATTTTAAATTGGCTCACCACTTTAGTAGCCTATTGGTCCCAAGCAAACGATTAACGTACCCTATTCTAGTTGAAATTCTATTACTACACTATGTTTGTTTTGATTCGCTATGAAAGTTTGACAGATAACATCAGGGGTGTGTGGATTCATGCAGAACATGCAGGGGTGAGTGAAATAGCTTGGGACTGCTTGGGACCGTTGTTCTGGTACTGAGTGAGCCAAAAATAATAATGATTTTCTTCGGGACCCAGTGGTCTTAGAGTTACCTCTATGGTAGTACTGTACCAAGGAGGCAACTTTAAAACCATCTTCAGAACTTTGTTCTGAATCCTTTGAAGTGCTTTTTTTCCTGGCAGTACAACAACTAGACCATATTGGCACAGCGTAAAGCATGGCCGGTCTAAAAACTTGTTTAAATATTAGAAGTTTATTCGTCAGGCAAAGTTTGGATTTCCTGTTTATAAGAGGATACAAACATTTAATATATTTGTTACATTTGGCTTGAATGCCCTCAAAGTGATCTTAAAAGTTAATTTTTGGTCAAGTAGTACTTGATATTTCACTTGGTTTGACCAGGAAATTGGAACTCCGTTCATAGTGACTATGTGACTACTACTAGGTTTCAAAAAGGAAGCTCTAGGCACAGACAAACAGACATAACAAATTGAATATTTCTCGCTGTAAAACATCGTCGCAAAAACATTACCGCCATCTGTTGAATACACTGTGGTGGGTAGTACGCTGAACAGATGGCAGTAGTGTGTAAACGTCAAATGTAAGGGAATTGACTATGCGCGCCACAGGTGGTGATACTACCAACTACGATACTTTTAAATTGACCGTTAAATGCTTGTTCGATGAACAACTTGCGAGTGTTATGTCTGTTTGTCTGTGCTCTAGGCTTATGTGGAAATATTATAGTGAGTTTTGGAAGCGCTGGGAGAAATCCTCCATTTTTGGCTATTGATGGTAGATTGAAACATTAATAACAATATTTTTTTTTTCTTTTTTTTTTTTTTTTTTTATTAAATTATTAAATATTTTCTCTAATTGATCAAAAATTATATTCCTAAAAATAAACTTTATGCGGGGCAGTTCCTAGTTCCCCTAACCCATGTTATGGTTTCTATTTATTAAATAGTTCAGATAAGCTAGAAAGATTTGTCAAGTTTTATTTTGTATTTGCATATAGTTGTAATGATTTTGAGTTTGCTTTTGTAATTATAATGTAAATAGTATACCTCAATTGAAACATTGAGTTGTATAAACTTGACTAATCATACATCTAACATAGTAGTAGCATAGAGGTAACTTTAAGACTAGAAGGTCCCGAAATAACGAACTCAACTTTTTGGCTCAGCTCTAGTACTCTCTTCGGTCCTAAGCTAATCGATTCACCCCTCGAAACATAGGAAAAACCAATAACCCCTCATTTTATCTGTCAAACTTTCATAGCGAATCAAAACAAACATTGTGTAGTACTAGAATTTTGACTAGAATGGGATACGTTAATCGTTTGCTTGGGACCAATAGGCTAGTCAAGTAGTGAGCCAATTTAAAATCGTTAGTTTCGTATTGATTGTTGCTATTGGTCCCAAGCAAACGATTAACGTACCCTATTCTAATTGAAATTCTATTACTACACTATGTTTGTTTTGATTCGCTATGAAAGTTTGACAGATAACATCAAGGGTGTGTGGATTCATGCAGAACATGCAGGGGTGAGTGAAATAGCTTGGGACTGCTTGGGACCGTTGT